TTCCAACCTTGTTCAGTTACTCTGATATCAAGTTCATGTAACTACTGAATATCTAGTGTGTTTAAAAAAAAAAAAAAAAAAAAAAAAAAAAACCCACACAAATACATGTTGGTCCAAATTGATTTTGCTCAGATTTCCTGAGGATCTCACTGCAATCTGTGTGGTAGATGCTAATTAACTTTACAACTATACTAGGGTTTTTCCCTAACAAATAAATTTCAAGAGGTCAGTCAATGCTTTTTGAATGTAATAAACACACAATGAAAATTTTCATAATGTGAAATCCTGTTTCACTCTTGTATTTATATATTCTTTCCTGCAAACAGAAACAATTACAGTATTTCAGTACATAAGCCTTACTTTGTGATTTAAAGCAGGCTGTTTTCAGAAGACAAAAACTTCACTCTGGGTTTTTTTTAGACATCTCTATATGTATAGAGCAGATATCTAGTTTCAGGCAGCTCAAAATGAACTGATCCCACATCATAAAAGCCATCTGATGTTCTGAGCCAAAAATCTGAGGTGAAATACTTGGATACTTAACTTGCTGCAACTTTTTAAAATATTTAGAACTTTTGGATAGTATCTTCTGTAATACAGTAACTTCTCACTTAACGTTGTAGTTGTTCCTGAAAAATGCGACTTTAAGCACATCGATGTTAAATGAATCCAATTTCCCCATAAGAATTAATGTAAATGGTGGTGGTGGGGGGGGGGGAATTAGGTTCCAGGAAAAAATTTGCGAGACAAAAGACATTATATGCGGTTTGACTCACAGCTGTGACTAGGTAAGTGAATATCCTCTGGCCCCAGAGCTCTGGTGAGGGTGTGGGCCAACAACACCCCGCCGCCCCACCTCCCAGGCCTGCTGAGTCCTCCCTGTGCAAACTCTGCGTGTTTGGGCTCAACATGGGAGCCAGGCAGAGCAGGCAAGCGGCAGCACATCAGAAGTGACACTGCTGAATCCTTCTCCAGCACCCAATGGGGATGTGTCTGCTAGCCTCTGAGCAGCAGATCACACAAATGCCTGCTCAAGTTAGTCACTGAATGCATCCCCCCCCGCCCCGGGGTGCTGGGGAGACCAGTAGTCTTCTAAGGGTCCCAATCTGCCAGGTTGCATGGTACACTCGGGACACACAACACAGAGGCACTTGGCCTCTAGATCTCTGCACAGCTGGAGACAGCCATAGGCTTCTGGGGCCACAGGCGCTGACTTTTCAAACTGCTGGGGGGTGCTTGACCCCCTGGCTCTACCCTAGGCCTGCCCTCACCCCACTCCTTCCCCCAAGGCCCGGCCCCGCCCCGCCTCTTCCCACCCAGTTCTACCCCTGAGCATGCCACATCCTCGCTCCTCCCCCATCCCTCCCTGCACGCCACGAAACAGCTGATTGCAGGAGGCGCGGAGAGGGTGAGGGGAGGTGCTGATTTGCGGGGCTGCTGGTAGGCGCTGGGGGTGGTGGTGGAGGGTGTTATAACAGAACATTGCGCAACTTTAAACGAGCATGTTCTCTAATAGAACAGCAACTTAATAACTAAACAACTTTAACCAGGATGACTTCAAGTGAGGTGTTACTGTACCATATAAGAGTAGCATAGTACTAGTGTATATAGTGTTCAGAGACTGTTCAGTGAGTTGGGAAAGAAACAAATCTATTTCAAATATAACTTCACAAGAAACTCTGAGTGCATGTCTTATGTAATGAGTGGTCATCATGACATATATACACACACGTTCTGTCTTTGTAGTGAATGACTTTTTGTAATACAGATAGCACAAATCTTGCACATGTAATATTAAGAACAAAAACTGTTCTCTAGTCTAATACTTAGTCTCGTAACCTAAAACCTGTCAGTTCTTTGCACCACAACACTTCATATGAATTGCCTAAAATGCTTGCTTAGGTGAACTTACTTTCACCACTGTCTTCCTTTTAAATCATGGAAAAGTATCTGTGGTGTACTCTCCGTCCAAAGAGTTAGTTGAGTTAGTGGTGGAGCAAATGTTAAGCATTGTTAAAACTTTTTAACTGTAAACAGCTGCAACTGTACCTCATACCTTATTACCCTGTCCTTGGGGACTATTAAGTGATGGAAAATTTGAAGTTAATCCAATGCAACCTGCTCTGTACTTGCCAGAAATTGTTTAATGTGCTCACCGGATCCCAATGGATGTTTCCACTGTGAGCACAGGCTGTGCTGTACCTGTGGTTTTCAGTATATTCACAATCTAATAGCTCTTAAATCAAT